GAAAATAACTGGGACAGACACAGGCAGTTTCTGTAAATGTTCTCAGACCAGCCCAAGCAACCCAGGTGCTGAAATAAGGAAGGATTGATTGCTTTAACCTGTCTGACGTAGTTTTGGTGTGTGGTGTGAGGGAGGGTCTAGCTGCCGCCTGTGAGCTCTGCAGGGTGGGCCCTGCACGCACCCCAGCTCAGAGGCCGGAAGTGACTAGTCTGGAATCACCCGTGGAGGGACAGCGCTAGGGCTCCGGTCTCCATCCGGACTGGCCTGTGCGGGGAACGTCAGACCCTGTGGAAGCTCCGGACACGGCCCCGCCCAGCAGGCCTCAGAGTACTGCCCTTGCGTTCCTGTCCAGCCCTGAGGTCTGTGACTCCAGGGGGCACCTTCCCTTCCTCCTGGTCCCTTCGTGGAGGCTGAGGCAGCCTCAGAAAACATGGCCCAGCAGCAAGCACGGCGCAGCCCTAAACCCGCCCTTCTCTTCTTCCCCCAGGGCCTGGGCTTCAGCATCGTTGGGGGAAAGGACAGCATTTATGGTCCCATTGGGATTTACGTCAAAACCATCTTTGCAGGGGGCGCGGCGGCCGCCGACGGGAGGCTACAAGAAGGTAGATTTCCCAGCCCTGCTCGGACCGCGGTGGAGGAGTCGGAAGCAGGATCCGGAATGGCTAGGCTGTGGACGACAAGGGGAATGCAAAGCGTTTCTCGAGCTTTCAGAATCCGGCCTGCATGATTCTGGGGTCTGCGGGTGGGGACACATCCCCGCAGGGGCTCCCCACGACGGGCACCCGGCCGCGTGTGTCTGCTCGCTCGGCCGGTCCGTGGCCCGCTGCGGCGGGGTCCAAGGGTCTGTTTCTGCCCCTCCCCCGATTCTCTCCCTGCCCTTCCCGCTCTGTCCAGGGTCGTCTCTGGGTCGCTGGGACCCACTAACCTCCCTTCTCCTTCCTTCTCCTTGCCCCGCCCAACCCGCAACCCGAGGGAGACGGTCCAGCGCTTCTCCTGGATGAGTCGGATGAACATTCTCTAAGAGCCTCGGAGCTCTGGGCCCCGGGCGTGTGGAGAGGACTCTGCCAGCTGGGGTCCCCCACCCCCGCCCCCCGACAGCCCCTCTCCTCTGGGCCACTACCCAACTCGTTCACAGGTGGAGCCCGGCCACCTGGCAGTGGGGGGCCGCCGTCCTCTTGTCCCGGAGGGCCCGGGTTCCCTCCTCTCCCCGCCCCACCCGAGTCACAGCCGCGGTGGGACTGTCGGGCGGCGGCTGGGCCCAGGCGACCAGGTCCCAGCTCAGGGGCGGGGAGTCGTGGGGCGCGGTGGCCACCGCGGGCCGGGGACGGGGTTGCGCTCGGGGAGGCCAAAGAGAAGTGAGGGCTCGGCATTCTCGGTCCTGTGTCGGGCGGGTTTCTGGAAGCCTCGCCGCCTCTCCTAGCCTAGCTTGTTTAGGGCGGGGTTTTATGCAGCTCACGAACAAAGACAAGTTTTTACATTTCTAAATGGCTGAAAAATTCGAAAGTGTTTTTGCTTCGTGTGTGACACGTGAAAATTAAGGGAAATTTAAATGTCGGTGTCCATGACAACGGTTTCTTGGGATACAGGCCTGCTCATCCAGCTCCCTGTTGCCTAGGGCTGCTCTCGGCGGCCTCGGCGGCCACGGCGGCGTCGGGCGGTTGTTTCCCAGAGATCAAAATATTTACCGTCTGGCCCTTCATAGAAAAGTTTGCCGACCCCAGCATCAGGCAGGGCTGTGCATGCGGATCTTACCGTGTGGGCAGTGGGGAGCTTTGAAGGTTTTAGAGTATGGGAGGGACCCGCTGTGACCAGGGTTTTGGGGTGACTCGGGAAGCAGAGCGTGGGCTGGAGTGGGCCAGACCAGACCACAGGCTGCTGTGAGAGCCGGACTCAGCTCTGAGGACCTGCCCCAGACGGTGGCCCTGAAGGATGAGAGAAGTGACAGAGACCAGGTAGAGGTGGTTTGAGCCCCGGAAGGGAGGGTGACGTCCCAGGGTGACCGCTGGGTGGCGCTGCCCAGCAGGGGAATGAAAACGTGGGCCCGGCTCAGGGAGTCCGAGCTGGGGCATCGGCACCTGGACAGTGGCTGAGGTTGCGAGTGGATGAGGGGACAGGAGGAGTGGGGAGGACACGGCCCGGCATGGTTCTAGGGGAGCAGCTAACTCGAGAGGCAGGCGGGCAAGAGCCAAAGAGGAATGAGCAGTGGGACCAGCGCCCAGAGGGTCTGCCGCCGTTTGTTTTACTGTCTTGTGTTGGAACAAAGCACCGGGAGCGGTTGGGGTGGCAAGAAAAGAGTCTTGTGTTTTGTTTTATTTCCTGAATGTGAGTGTGCCCAAGACAACCTTTTTATTTTCTTTCTGAGTATTTTCCCCTCTTAATTAGTATTAATTATAAGCAAAAAATGGAGAATTTCAATGAGCCAAGACATTCAGCTTATATGCCATCCCTGATGCTAGCCTCAAAAACTAAGCAACTCTTTTGTAATTTCTTCCAAAAGCGAAGTCTTTGAATCTGCCCTTGAGTTCATGGCAGATAGAGTAGTTGCAGCAAAGGTTTGTTATACACTGATGTTTCGTTTTTACTCTTTCCAAAAACTGATGGTGTAAGATTTATTTGGAAAAACCTAAGTCATTCAACTTTCACCAGATATGATCAAATAAACAGAGGACACTCCAAGGAGCCCAGAGCTTGGCTGCGTGGCCCCATCAAGATGGACATTCTCATACTTGCAGGGAGGCTCGGCCCCTCATGGAATTAAGAAGGACATTCTAGGCCGGGTGCGGTGGCTCACGCCTGTAATCCTGGCACTTCGGGAGGTCGAGGCAGGAGGATCGCTTGAGCCCAGGAGTTCAAGACCTCTTGTTGAAAAGAATGGACATTCTGAAATATTCTCTTTTTCTATTATTCCTTCAGCACACGTTTAATTATATTTTGATTGTTTTTTTTAATGTGTCTATTTTCACTCCCACACTTGGAGTCTCACGAAGTCCAGGACTGGTTCCTTTCATTTTCCACTTTGGTTCCAGCAATCGAACAGAATGAATTGATCTGAATACTCTCCCCGCCCTGCCTCCACCCTCTGTCTCCAACACGTGGACATGTCAAAGAAAATAGCACATCTGAACTCGAACGCAGGAAATGGAAACGTCCGGCTGCTAGAAAACAAGGGAACAGCTTTAAACCTCGGTGTGGCAAACCCAGGAGCTGATGTGGTAGCACCCAGAGGGCTGCCAGATTCCGTACAGACCCGAAGGGCCAGGGGCCAGGATTTGAATGCCCACACAGGGACTGGGGCCAGGGCTCGGGTCCAGGTGAGGACCTGAGAACCCACATGGAGCTTTGGTGCTGAAAGAGCTGCCCCCCCATGAAAGGCTGCAGGCCCCCGGGGAAGCAGCCGGAAACTTAACGTTGCCCAGGGTTCCCAAGGGGGCAAAAATATCTCTCGCAAGGAAATGATACCAAAGCCTGTGTCATGCATGGGCACACGGGTCACATTTATGGTTCTTATAGAGCACAGGAATCTCCAAGCTGAGAAATTAATATTAAAACCAGTCCCAAACCAGTGAAACCCTTGAGGTGCCTGGTAGTATATGGAAACGCCACAGAAAAACTGCATATTCTAAAAAGTGAGTTTACAATAGAGATTACATACTACATCAGGAAGGGGCCACTATTCAGGAGGGTCATCAGAAATGACAGAAAGCAGTACTAGCCCTCAAACACTTAAGAGAACAGAATAATCGAAAAGAAACTATAGAATTATTATGTTTAAGATCATTTTTAAAAGATAAAAGAAGGAATTTAAACTCTAAGACCAGAA